ATCACCTACAACTTCATGGATTAAATCTGAACAGGGAGTCAGTGGTAACCAGGTGTGAGCTAGGGAAAGGGAGAGACCCTAGGACAAGCATGTCAAACTCACAGGCCACATGCCTTGTTTAAGCTGCCTGGAGTTTGACATGCTTGCCCTAGGGAGTTTAGAGCCCTGGCTAAAGGCTGACCTCTCCTCATTGTACCTCTGCTGACATACCAGTGGCCTGGTGGTGAGAGCACTGGCTGTAGCGACAATCCCTCTCATTCAAATTCAAGCTCTGTCACTTCCTATCTGGGGGACCTTGAACCAACTAACCAATCCCTCTAAGCCTCCAATCCTCACCTGTAAAAGAAGGCTAATTATGTCTACTTTAGATACTATTACGAGGGCTAAATGAGATCTTGCTGGTCAACTCCCAAAGTAAGTGTTTAATAAATGTAAATTCCCCATGCACTAACTTCCCCAAGGAGCATAAAATATTTTCATCCACTAAGTCTGGAAGGAAACTCTTTTACCTCACAGATGGTCCCAAATTAAAGGAACAGGAAGTGCTTTCATCAGAAACCACACATGCTAGCTTTAATGGCACCTTCACAAAAACTGTAGGGGTCATGAGGCTCTCTGAGTCCTTTCAAGATTACATAACCCTGAAACTGTCAGTCAGCAGAGAGCTGAATTCCCCTCTAAGATGTATTTTTCATGTGTCCTCTCATGGAAAGTAGTGGAAATTCAAATTGGTTTAAAAGATACTAAATCACACACAAAAAAATCTTAGTTCACAAGAAATCACAGTAAAATGCCTATAAGTGATTGAGAAGCTCTAAGAATCACAGAAATTTTAGTAACCAACCCACTGCCCATTTTGACATGACTATATCAGCCAAGGCCCAGGTAACATCTGGAAATATCCTCCTTACCCTTGAGAGTTCAGCATTAGGCCAAGAAAGCCAAAAGGTGACGTTCTGCCTCCTGATCTTCCTGTTAACCTGGGGGGCGGGGGTGGGGTCAAGAGACAGATGGATCAGTATCAGCTATGAGCATAAAGGAAATGGTTTTCTCAGGAGCAATTCATTCTAAAATCTTTCCCCTTGGTAGCTCTCTGTTGCTCTTTAACCTCTGAGAGGACTTCTTTTGTGTTCTGAGAGCAGGATGGATGGATTTCAGGACAATATAGAATGAGACAGGTTTGCCTCCATGTCCTCAGAAAAAGCCTGTATCTGGTCAACTAAATTATGCTGCCCATGGTCATCACTTCCATGCTGCAAAGGATGCCACCAGATGTTTCACATAATGTGTGCCGTGCTCTGATTTCTTATGCTAACTCACCCTAGACGGACTCTTCTATTGGCCCAGGGCTCCTCGCCTGAACCCTGCCCACCTGTGTCTTTAGTCCACACAACATGTTATATTGGAGAGAGATGGTGGACCGTTCACTGTCCTCTGAAGCCACATAAAAAGATGTCAGTGTTATCAGCATATTTAGATGATCTGTGTGGCCAATCCCCTCCTCTATCGGGGATTATTAAGGGCAGTGAATAAACTTTGGAAAATGGTCTCTCCTTTTATTGTCTAAAAACGTACCATCTAAGAGAAGAAGAAGAAAAAAATCCACCTGACCAGATAATGTATTTCTTCAGATGCCAGATTTAAATTGGGGGAATATATATTACCAAGAGCTTAAAATTTACATATTAAATGTCATCCTCTTTGGGACACCCCCACCCCACAACAGCCAGCTCACTAATCCATCTCACCTAGAAATGTGCTTTTATGTGCATAAAATCCCTTAACATACTTTATACAGATTTTTATAAATCTGGGGGCCCACCAAGTCATTAAATTTCAGATCTTCCTCATTCTCAGTGAGGTCTTGTAATATTTGTCTTTAATATTACAGAAGTAATATAAGAATTAATAACGTGATATAAAACATTTCCATCTAGCTCAGCCGGTGTGGTTCAGTGGTTGAGCAGTGACCTTGAACCAGGAGGTCACGATTCAATTCCCGGTTGCGGGCTCGATTCCCAGTATGGGGTGTGCAGGAGGCAGCCAATCAATGATGTTGTCTCATCATTGATGTTTCTATCTCTCCCTCTCCCTTCCTCTCTAAAATCAATAAAAATATTTAAAAAATAAAACATTTCCACCTTCTCGGGTATATTTTCCCATAAAGGAATAGTTTTATGCCTACCCTTAGTGAGAAAGTATATCTCTAAACCCACACTCAAACTTGGGAGACTCCTGCCTTGGGGTATCACTGTTCTTTCTCACTGACTAGATAAATAGTTACATTAGATTTATGCTCCTTTCATCACTCTCCCATCCATCTCCTCCAACAGCATCTCAGTCCTTCCTGAGCCTTCAAGGCAAACAGAAATGACTCATAACCATTACCAAATTACAAACACATCCCAGATTTTCTCTCCCCCCCAAAACTGCCCCCCCCCAATATTTTGCCCCAAAACAAAGATGCTTATCCAGATATCAGAAAGTGATTCCAAAGGAAAGACTGAAAATGGAAAAAGGAAAAAAAAAAAAAAACTTAGCATTTAAGATTCTTTTCATACTAAATATCAAATAATAAAAATATACCTTTGAAGAGTCAAGCCATACAAATACGTAAAGGCAAATCAATAGTTTCCAGCTGTAATCAGCGATAATAACCCAAGTACGTGAGAGCATGAGAAAGACGACCAGTTAGTTTCCTTTTGAGGTTACGTGATAAGCAGCAGCAGTTAGGCAGCCCTTTCCTCTAAGATCTGGGCGCCCGACCTCATGGCAAGAGGCCAGTCCCTCTCCTGCTCCCCTTTATAGGGCTCTAGAGCGGGTAGGGGTCGTGTGGGAGGTGGGGGGGCGGGGGCGGAGCCGGGGAAGCGCAGGAACTGTTCTCTGAAATACAGAAAACGGG